GCATTTTCTTCTACACTCTGAATGAATCCCTTTCCCCTACCTTGTTAACTATCGGCATTAAAAATTGATATATTTATGTCAGTCAGTAAGCCATCTAAATATGAGGGGTTTTCTCAGGTTTGGGATCAAATAGCCAGAGTGATTTCCTGATACTCCCTTAAGTGTCCTCTGTCATGATCTCTCTCTGTTGGGGGTTTCAGGTTCTCCACAGATGAAGGTCAGTGCTGGCAAACGTACGTGTTCACCAGGGAGCCCATCTACTTCACCGGCCTGGCTTCGGAGCCTGGAGCGAGATCCATGAATGTCAGCATCTGGGGCTTCACAGAATCCTTCCTCACTCGCCAGTGGGTCTCCTACACCATCGATTTCAAAGATCTCCTCGAAAGGAGCTGTGAGTGTCTCCTTTGACCTTTTCTACCAGAAACTTGTAAGCGCCTTCTCCTAAATAACCAACTCAGCTTAATTTCTTCTCACTGAAAGAAGAAAATGCATATGAAAGAGGATTGAAAGAAGTTCCGTGTGGAATGGTATCAGAAAAGCAGCTCCCTCTTTGGACGAGCTCTGTCCAAGAGAAAAAAAATGAGGGCCAAAAATGTAATTTAAATGATTCTATCAGCAACATTATAAAAGTAAAAGAGGTGAAATTAATTTTAATAATATATCTCAGTATATCCAAAATGACATTTTAACATGTAAGCAACATTAAATATTATCAGAGAAATACATTACATTCTTTTTCTTCTAAGTCTTCTAAATCTGGTGTATATTTTACACTTATCCTTATAGTAAATTTCAATTCAGACCAGCCACACGTAGCTACAGCTATCATATAGGAGAGTACAGCTTTGCACTGCTAGGTTTCTGTAACATTTTATGAGACTTTTTCTGCTTATAAGGATAATGCATGCTTGTGTTTGTCTAAAACTATTTCATAACATTTCAGGGTTTTTCACCCCTGAGTATAGCAGAACTGTAAAGAAGAAACTTTAGAGGAAAGTGTGTTGCAAAGAACATCTAATTGATTGCGCCACTTATCAATATGTTGATAAGTGAAGAAGTTTTAATGCAGAGGTTTGACTTAAATGTCAGTCACAGGCGAGGCTCTAGCATGGCTGCTGGGCAGGTATGAAGCCCACACTGACCATTTCAGAGTTCTGTAGCTTCAAACTAGAAGGCATGTTAAAGGCCCAGAAAAATGGCTTCAGAAAAGGAGTTAAAATGTTCATTGCAAGGATCATAAGCAAACCCCAGGCCCCAGAGCCAAAGATGCTGGCATGATACTGAAAAATATGGAGGAGAAAAGAATAAAACTGGAGAAAAGGTGACCATCCTGTGACCAGTAGTTACTCTTTGGCATAATATGATACAAGACTTAAGGTTTCAAGATGCTTTGGTTGAATTTTGGTCCTGTTATTAGACTGTATTATGGGTCCATTTCCTCAGAATGTTAATTCAGTGACTCCTGAGGGAAACAGAAGCACTCGTTCGGACCTTACTTTTCTACAAGATGTTTAAACATGATTTAATACTGGAGTCATTATTGTCTAAATTCATTAAATAGGCTGTAAAGGAGCTGGCTTATGAGTTTTCCGCTCAGCAGGGAGCTACAGTTATCCCTAAAGTTTCACATCATTAAAAGATTTGTTAAGCACCTGTTCTTTAACAGGCTCTGTGCTGGTCTTCATATCATGAAGGATTAAAACCTAATCCACACTCTTTAGGCCACAGCCTTTGAGTCATTTTTCCAGCCTTTGAGTCATTTTTCTCATTTTTACAATGAGACGATATAAGCCAGGTTGACTTATCAAAAATCTTCATTTGACAGCCAGTCAGCTAGAGTTAAAAGTCTAGAAAGAATGTTTTCCTTGCTGCTTGAAGCAAACTAACCTATTGTGAAATTGAACCCATGCTTTTGGCTAATTGGTGTCTTCTCCTAAAGGGACACATCTGGCTGCTGGCCTCTGTCAGCTCCTGCTGACCAAGGGCACAGGCGTACAAGCCTCAGACAGCAGCCTCTCAGTCTGGAAGGAATCCTCGAGGTCCTCTGTCCAGCTTCTCACTTCCAAACAAATAAGGGTTTTCCTAACACTCAGATGAGTGGTGAGATACAAATAGCCCTCCTTTGGTATGAGGAAGTGCTAATTGCTAGTAGGCTCCAACTAATGTAATTGTGGTTTGCAATTCCAAAATGAAGCAATAGATTGAGTCAGCCCCACTTTTCTCATCTTTGTTCTTCCTATAGCCTGGCAGCTGCATCATGTGGGTGGGTTCTGTGCAATGCAGTTTCCCGAACAGCCTGTCTTTCCTTTAGGTGAAGAGAAGGACTATACCATATGGCTGGCTCACTCCACAGACCCCAGAGATTATGGAGATGGCTGCATTTTAGGCTACAAAGAACAGTTCCTACGGCTACGCAAGTCATCCGTCTGTCAGAATGGTCGGGACTATGTTGTGACCAAGCAGCCATCCGTCTGTCTCTGCTCCCTGGAGGACTTCCTCTGGTATCAGCATCCCTGCTAGCCCTTTTCCCATGCTGGAGGAGGTGGAATACAGTTGTCTTATAGGGCCAAAAAATGTTTAAATCTTTTCCTTCCCCAAGAGTGAAGAACTGCTGCTTCTTATTAAGGAAATTGAGGCACAGAGAGAGAGAACCAAAGTTGTTGTTAATTGGACAAATAATATCGTACTAAACAGTTAATTATTGGGCAGAACCAGCAACAACCCCCAGAAATTCTGACTTGGCAATGGTAGGAAGAGGAGAGGTATATAAGGAGGAAGAAAGTTTTAAAAAATAGAAGATGATAGGACAAAAACACAAAGAAAAGTGGTACAGGAGCTAAGAGGGCACTGGACTTGAGCAAAAAGCCCGACAGCCTGAGTTCAGCAGGTAGGACGGTAGGTCTTGGGTCATCTGCAGGCCTGAAGGCAGAGAGAGCGACATCAGTATATTTGTGGTCCCTATGTCCCTTAAGGTTTAGAGGCCATTAGGGTGAACTCCCTAGAGTTCAGGACCATCCAGACTTAAGTATCAGTTACGTGGCTGGTATAGGGTTGGTTGATTATACAAGGGGAGGGGCGCCCCAGGTAGCCTAAGCAAGGTCACTTAGGGCAAATAGGGGACTACTTCACATCACAGGTAGTAACTTTATGGAACTCATTACTTGCCAGAAGATACTGACAGGAGGTAAAAGTGGATCCTAAAGAATTTGGAACAGAGGCAGGTAGATAGCAGTCATGTCCTCTTGCATCATATCCTCTCAAACTGCAGGTGGAATTGGCCAGGGGTCCTCCCTTCTCTATTTCCTCAGAGAAAATATCACTCATATCACTTGGTTACAGTAGGACTAGAGCTCACGGATACTGTAAAACTCTGAGGGCTGTCTCCCATTCTCGACTGCACATAGGCGAGGCTTAAGCTGCTCCTGTTTTCCAGACATGCTGTGCTGCTTCAGAGCTCCATGCCACTGTGCGTGCTGCCGCCTCTACCTGGAAAGTCTTTCCACATTCCCTGCTTGACCCCCAAGCCTGATGGATTCCTACTTAGCTCAGATAGCACTTCTTTAAGCTTTCCCCCATTTCCCCACATCTGGGCTCCCACAGAACCCCCATTACAGCACTTACTGTGTTTTAATCATTGTGTACAAGTAAACTGTAGACTCCTTGAGGACATGTTATATTTGATAATCATATAGTAGGAATGATAGCAGCTGACATTTATTGAGCACTGACTGTACCGGGCACTGTCCTAACTTACACTTAGCCTCAGTAGCACTAGGATATGGTACTACTGTGCTTTCCGTTTCACAAAGGGAAGAGATGAAGGTACAGAGAGGCTACGACCAACTGGCCCAGTCACTCAGCCGGGATGCGGGAGAGCTGGGATGCGAACCTGGTGAGGTTCAGCTCCAGGGCCCACACACTGTGCCACATGTGCCTGAGAAACGTGTGCTTTGTGAGTGGGAAGGGACATTTCCTGAAATTTTGGATTGAATACCTAAAATTTTTACCAGAAGTTTCCCTCTGCTATTGGAGGGGTGGTGTTTTCTGCCTCTTAGGTTCTCCCTACTCTCTCTCCTAAGTATTTGTTGGAAAAACCTTGGAGCATCCATATATTCCCCAAATATTCATTGACTGCTTGCTGTGCACAGGGCAGTGCAAAGTGAAAATGGAAGGTTTGTCTTAGACTTTACCGGTAAAATGCACATAATTATGTTGTAACACCGAAGGTGATAAGTGCCTCGGGGATTTAGAGAAGGGAGGGACTATTCCAGCTAGAGCTGAAAAGTGTGTCAAAGAAAGCTTTGTTGAGGAGGTGACATTTGAGCTGAGCCCTGACAAGCATAGGATTTGACCACGAGCATCTGGGAAGAAGCAGGTCATTAAAGCCAGTGGACTCCCAGCAGTGTGACAGAGAAGGGTGTGCTGGAAGACAGGCCACAAGGGGAAGTCACAGTAGTCACGATAGAGATGTGAGCAGGGTCCAGATGGGGGGTGTTCAGGCTAAACTTTCAACTTAGATGATGGGATGGAAGGTAGTGTCATGGACAAACATAAGGAAATGATAGGACAGGCTGGCGTGAAGGAGAAATGTGTTTTGAATATTTTATTTATTTGAGGTTTGTTTTTTTTTAAAGATTTTTATTGGGGAATGGGGGGATGGGAACAGTGCTGGGGAATTGGGGGAAGGGGAACAGACAAGTTGCTGTTGTTTTGTTCTTCAGTCTAGTTGTGGAGGATATTGCTTCACTGGCCCAAGTTGGCACCATCATTGCGCTCTTCCTGGGCGAGGCAAATCAGTCACCGGCTTCTGGACGGCCGCTCACTGCGGCTGCTGGCCGCTCATGCTGGCTGCTGGCTACACATGGTAGCACATGACAACCCACTGCAGCAGGGGCTGCAGCCTACGCTGTTGCCGGCGACTCACGGCAGCCCAGCTCCAGGTTGAGCTGTTGTTCAGCATCTTAGCTGTGGAGGGCAGTGTCACTGGCCCTCATATGTGGGATCCGAACCGGGGCCCTCTGGCGTCCCAAGCCAGTTCTTAACCATTGCGCCACTTGGCCGGCCCTTATTTGAGGTTGTGTCAGTGGATTTAGATGTGATATCTAGCAGGTATTTGGAGGATTAGAGCTCAAGAGAGGTAAAACCTGGACATTTTAGTTGCAACAAATAGTTAAGCTTACAAAGGGAGAGCAGATACAAAGTAAGAGAATGAGTTACAGAACCTTGGAAAACGTCTGCATTTATGGGTTAGGAAAAGAGGAGAGCCATCAGTGACCAGGAGGCAGACAAGTGCAGCAGTGCAGTGCCAGGGTGGGGAGGAGCAGGGCAGTGTCCCGGGCGCTGCAGAACAGGTGGTTAAGGTAAGTGAAGCCAGAGAGGGCACCCCTGGGTTGGATGACTAGTGAGCCCGGTGGGGGTGGCGGAGGGGGCCTCAGACATTCATTTTCAAGGTTGCAGAGGAGGTTGAAGCCAGAGGCACAAAATTAAAAGTAAATGAGTAAAATAGAACAAGTAAAAAATATTATTTAATGAAATTTGGCTGGTAAGGCAGAGGAAGAGGAAGAGGACAGGTGCAGGCTAAGGGGAAACAACCGTTGAGTGGGCCTGATGGTCCCTCCCACACTGTCAATGAAGCTAGGTCCCAGGGCAATAGGACAGATGGGGCCAAGGATGCTCATGAAGGGAGTCAGCTTGGAGAGGAGGCAGTATGTTATTTCTTTGGGGAAAAGAGAAAGGTGAGCAGAGGGGTGGCACTGTGGAGAGATGGGAGAGAGTGGGAGGCAGGTCAGCACATTCACGTTGGTGGCAAGGACATCTGAGAAGCTAGAGGGTCAGAAACGGGGAGGCAGGAAAGGTTTGCATATCCCCACAAGGTATGCCTCCAAATGACATAATGAGTTATTTGGAGGTAAATAAAAAATTGCTAAGTGTCCCTGAGTTTAGAGCTGTCGCTGATGCCACTACTTGTGTGTGTCTTAGTTGCATGAATCCCCACCCCGTGCAGGCAGCAGTCATTCCCTTCCCGAAGCCTGAGCTATCTGTGCAACGCTCCCAGCCTTGGGGCTTCTAGCTGCTGACTTAGATAGAGTCTTAAGTCTACCAGGCCCAATTGATAAGCTGTTTTTCCCTACTTGAGCCCTCTCCATGTCTGTTTTCCTAAATGGACATCCTTAGTAGATCTCACCTTTCTGAGCTGCTTTTTGGTAACCCAAGACTGGAATATTAACCATCCAATGCCCCACATAAAACCTTCATTGCTAGTCACTACTATCTTCCAGCAACTGTGAAAGATACTTTATTTGCTGACTCTTGCAGTGATTTTGGCTACTTCCGTCCAGAAAATGACTCCAAGTGTGTGGAACAGCCAGAGCTGAAGGGCCACGACCTAGAATTTTGTCTGTACGGCAGAGAGGAACACCTGACAACAAATGGGTGAGACGGCTTTTCTTCTTGTCCTGACAAACGAATCACCATTATTCAGAGTGAAAAGCTGCTTCTCTCCACACTGAGATCTGAGCCATGTTTTTGAGCATTTTAGAAAAATACTGCCTGATAGAGCTTTCTCTGATGATGGAAATGTTCTATCATCTGCTGTGTCCAGTATAGTAGCCACGAACCCTGTGTGGCTATTGACTGCAGTGTGACTGAGGAACTGAATTAATTTGAATTGATTTAAATAGCCACCATATTAGACAGTGCCAATTTGGAGGAGCCTCGTTGCCTCCCTCCCCTGATAAATGCTTCCCCCTCCCACTTTTGTACCATATGTTAATGTGAGTTAACGTGCTTTCGTAGGTTACAGTTCTTTGGCACAGTCTCCTAAGGCAAAAAGGCGGGCATGTCCCTGCAGCAAGGACAGGGTTGCTTAGTCTGTTCAAGGCTGAAACTACACAAAATATCCCCAAAACCTCCCTGTGGATCTCTTCCCAGGCCTGAAAGATGGTATAAGGATGAGAAGCTTTTCTGCAGCTTTTCAAATCTTGTTTTTAGGAAATAGGCAGGAATCCAGGAGTACATCCTTGTATTCTGTTGACAAATTTTCTCTGCCTTTCAGGTACCGGAAAATTCCAGGAGACAAATGCCAAGGTGGAGTGAATCCAGTTCGAGAAGTAAAAGATTTGAAAAAGAAATGCACAAGCAACTTTTTGAGTCCAGAAAAGCAGGTATGTTAAAATAGATCTGGTTTAGGTACAAGTGGGGTTTCATGTTCTGCCAGGAATAGTCAAAGCTAAAGCATCAGGAATTTTATTACTTAGTACAAAGTGGCCAAATTACTTCTGTCAAGCTTCCCTTTGCACAGGAAGCTGTTAGAGTGAAGGATGGGTCACATAACCCAGTGATAAGCTCATCTACTGAAAACGTGTTTGTTGGGGAAAAAATAGTATTCTGTGAAGTTGTTTCAAGTCTTAGAAGCATAGAGTTGAGGAAATTTCTGAGGCTAAGGGTTATTTAGGAAAAAGACTCAAGAAGTTTGGCTGTAAAGGGCTGGAGTTTTGCACGTGTGGAAGAGACGAGTACTGGCCCATAGGCGGGGTGGATCTCCGTGCCGAGTCATGCCAAGTGACATAATAAAAACTATGGTAATAAACTGAACTATGGTAATAATTAGAAGTAGGTTCTGGGCTGATTACAGGTCTGTAGTACTGAACTGTCTGGCTGGGATTTGGGGATGTGGTAAAGAAGAAACTTCTTGATGAAGAAGCACTGGACCAGCAGTGTGACTTGGGTCAATAAACTGGGGGCCCCAGTTTCCTAATCTGTAAAATGGGAGGTGGACAAGCTGCAGTCCCCTCCTCTACAGCTTCTAAAAGATGAGGGCCTCACAAGGGGTGGGATTAAGAAGGCAGCGGGGGAAGAATGTATGGGTGTGTGTACTTGTCAGGGGCAAGTGCTTCCTCCTCCCGGCCCCCGCCCTGCACCCCTGGTGGCTATCCTCAGAGTGTGTGTGTGTGTGTGATTGCGCAGGACTCCGCCCACAGGGACACAACTTGTCCCAGAATCCAGCTCCACCTCCTCTTAGATACATTGAAAACAAACACTCCCTATCTCCCACCCAGAAGCAGGTAGGTCACACTCAAACAATGATATGAAAAGGCATATTTGTAAAAACATACAAAAATTAAGTTAAAAAAATCTTGGTGTCATATGATGGCCCTCCTGATATAGCATCGGCGCAGCTTCTTCCCAGGCAATGGCCCTGTTCCAGATTCATTCAGCCCACTGTTATCATAACCTCCCTTCCCTGCTGCACCCTTCAAAGCTCTAAGACTTACAAGCAGTTGTTTTGGGGAACAGTCACAATTACCATTTGATCTAGGTTTCTAAGGCTTCCATGTAACTCTGACATTGAAACCCCTGAGTTTACACCATTCTGACAGCTTCCAAGCTGCTGAAGTTCTGGTGACCCTCTGCCAGCCGTGATGTTCTCCTGGTAGTGCCAAGATGGTTCATCTTGGGGATTGAAAGCGTACCATCATGAAGTGTCTAAAAACTGCAAGTCATTCAGAGAAGTGAGGGAATGAGCTGCCTCTTTGAATTCAGTCCTAGAATGTGCATGCCTGAAATGTTTTGTTTGTGTTTTAATTTATCAAGAATTCCAAGTCAAATTCTGTCCCAATTATCCTGGCCACTGTGGGATTGATGCTGGTCACAGTCGTAGCGGGAGTGCTCATTGTGAAGAAATACGTCTGTGGGGGAAGGTAAGGAGTGTGGAAGTCAATCAAAGGTGCTGCATTCAAACCAGAAAGTCAGCCAGGGGCATATGGTTGAGTCTGCCCTTAGCAAAAGCCAGCTAGTTGAAGTGATGTTCCTAAAACATCAGGCGCAAATCTTCTCAGATCTTCTATTTTCCATATGCCAACTGTGGGTCATGCTCCCTGGATGTGTGACTCATTCTGCAGGGGTATAAAACTTGGAAAATCCACAGTCCTATAGGAAGTGCAGCCCTCCTCACCACCTGGGGGTTAATGGAGGCTTCCGTCCACAGGTTCCTGGTACATCGGTACTCTGTGCTCCAGCAGCATGCAGAGGCCAACGGAGTGGACGGTGTGGATACTCTGGACACAGCCTCCCACACTAATAAAAGTGGTTATCATGACGACTCGGATGAGGTGAGACTATTTCTTCTTGAAGGGCAGTACAGAAAAGAAGAGTGATTCTTTTCCTATTCATAATCAAGATATGATTGAGGCAAAGGAGGGTATAAGCTACAATAGAAGCAAGAACTTAAAGACCATAAGACTTGGTCAGCCAGAAACGAGGTAATTGCTTTCAAAATAGGAATTTTTAAGTCTGTAATATGGTCTATGTCTGTCTTTTCAGGACCTCCTGGAATAGCGCCTCAAAGAAGCTGGGATTGAGCATGGATGATGGAACCGCAGTACCTCTTACACTCTCTGTGGCTCTGACTTGGGGAAATAAATTTCCCATTGCAAGGGACCCAGCTCTGTTTCTGCTGCTTCCATCAAAGCCAGAAGGACCTCCACTAAAGAAATGCAGGGGGTGGGAGGGGGGCAGAACCCAAAACACTCTTACATTGGCTCTGAGAAGGGGGGGAAATTTTCAGTTCTTTAACCTCTTATTTCAAGTTCTGTCTTTGCAAAGTATGGGCTCTTTTGTTTCTGTTTTTGTTTTTAAGGGAAATGAAATGGAATTGGAAGGGAATGTTTCACTAATCCCACTCCTGCATGTTTTGCATGGTGCCTGCCCCAGGGCACCTGCCAGCTCCAGCATCACCTCTCACAAAGTACATGGTGCTGTCCCTGGGCTCTGGTGGTGAAATGCAGCCGCTGCAGAGATGAGCACAGAGGCTACAGTGACTGACACAACCCGGCAGCCCGTCTCCTTCTGGGGACAGCCCTGCTCCAAGAACGCTGCATTCCAGCTCCTCATACAGATCCCGCCTTTCTTTTTTTTCAGGGACCATAGATCACAGTGATTTTTCTTTTCCCTGTTTAATTAGGCAATACCCTTGTTAATTGCCCTTTGGCGAGTAACTTAACCATGTGCTTCCAAGACACTAAATCAGGAAAATTTAAAGGGCAATATCTTTGACTTGGGACAGGAAGAAGGGAGCAGCAGAGAACTGAGTAGATTTAGCACCTATTAAAGGAGGAATTCTTCCTCCTTCCGTGATCTTTCAAGCCATGCTTTGTGTGTGTGCCAGTGCATTTGCTCGAGGACAGGGTTCAGGCCTGCCCTGGATGTCTGCCCAGCTGAGTGAGCTCTTCCCTAGAGCGGATGGTGGCATGTATGGTGCAGGCTCTGAGGATGGAACATAGCATCTTCCATATGCCATTCTACCTGCTGTGTTGGCTCATCGGTGAATCGTTAGAATGGCTGCTTATTTGCTTCCCCTTAGGTGGCTGTTGTACATGGAGCCAGGACCAGACATGTTTTCAGATTTATAGGCTTTTTAAAAATATCAGAATTTACTACCAGGCTCTCCTCCTCACCCTTTTTCCCCCAGCTTTGCCAGGTAATGTATTGGCATGGAACTTGGCTGAACCAACTGAAAGCTTCCAGTGTAGATGATATTTTGTGTGATACATTAAGTTCATATATTAAATTTAAGGGAGTTTTCCATTTGAGATTTTTTCAAATTAAATATAGAATGTAGTGAGGTGGATTTGGGGGCAGCCATATAGTAATGGAAAGCTGCAATAATTCATTTTAATACAGCTTGAATCCAGGGATATAGTATAGTACGTTGTCAGTCTTAGCATACCTGCTGTGCTGGTCACAGTTTCTCCCAATAATTATGATTGGGACTTTTTTTTGGTAACTGCCATTTTGCTGCTAGTTCATTTTATGGCTAGAAAGTTAGTAAAAAGTAAATGTGCCAAATTAACTTGTCAGAATGCATGAGCAGATGACTAAGTTAGCTCTCTCCTCACCAGAATAGATTAACAGCAGCAGGGAGAGGTGGGGGAGGAAGTGGATGGAGAATTTAGAGACTTTGAAACTGCAGTAAAATTAAATGAATCAGGGAGCTTCAGTTAGAAAATAAAGCTAGGACAGGTTTTGTGAAGAGAATATTTGTCAGAGCCAGAGAACACTAGTCTTTTAGGAAAAGCTCATTCATTTTGCATCATTTTTAAGTTAAAAATAATTCCAAAGATTAAACAGCTCACAAGTGACAAGTGTCAGCCTTTGTCCCGGACACCCTCACCTCCTGCCCAAAGTGAATTTGATGCCCAGACAAGACCTACTTAACACACCTACACCGTTGGCTCTCAGCATATACTCACTGGGGTAGGTGTGCCGATAGATGATGATTCTCTGATCAGTTTTAAGATGCAGGAGTGTTAATATTATGCTACCATATATGAATAGGGCTCTTTGTTTATAATGATATCTGGGTTTCTGCAGAACTCAGCAATTCTCAGAGCACTTTTGCTTGAACCTCACAACATTTGAACCTCACAACATTCTTGTGAGATTTAAAAAAAAAAGGCAGGGGTTGTAATTCCCATTTTTTGGAGATGGAACTGTGGTACAAAAATTGAGTAGATTGTCCAGGGTTGTCGTGTGTGTGCGAGCAATCCTGGCTGGTTGTCTTTAGAACTGGAGCATTGTTATGCGTGCAAATGGTGCATGCCTGGGGCGTGGCTCCTTCCTGACAGATGACTTGCTGTTCTTGAGGGCAGGGAGGGATCAGCAGCATTTCTCACAGAGCAGCGTTTAGGGCCCTTTTGCCACTTTGGTGAACAGAAAATTGTATTCTCCTGTTCCTCATGGCTGAAAACAAAAATATTGATAACTGTGGATATGTGTTTAGAAACTGCCCCTCCCCTCGTTGAGGGTGACTGTCCAAGAGTGCAGGAGTGGCGTCTCCAATGATGAGTCACCTTCTCCATGCTCCTTGTTTCTTGTCCCTGGCTGGCTAAGCTCGCTCAGTTGGTTTGAGGACTGCTAATAAGTGTGGCTTCTTCCCTTTCTGCCTCAGCCAGTAAGTAAAACAGCCTAAATAGATGACAGCATTAAAGAACAAAAGATTTCGCATTTGTCCTACTGACATTAGGTTAGGAGCATTATCTTTGAAAGTAAAGCATAGTGTATCATTGTGTAAAGTCCCAGGCAGAGAGATTGTTTCTGGAGGTTTCAGCAATAGAATTTGGCATCGTGAGATAGCTTGGACTATCAGACCATCTAGTGTCCTGAGCTCTTAAATCCAAGTGGAGAACTTGCCATCATGCCTGCCCTGTGGATAGGTGTCTTGAACCTGAGGGGGCTTCTGGTTTGTAGTGAAACCAGAGACCACAGATGCATCCACCTAGGCTGTTAATTGAATGGCAGCACCACTTAGAAGAATAAAAGTGTGTAGAGGGTGTGGCCACTCTAGACTGGGCTCAGGGGATTCAGTAGGTTAGCCATAACTGAATCTTAGAATTTGCCATCTGCCTCTGAATAGGCATTCCATTGTCTCTCTCTCTCTCTCTCTTAGGTTTGCCCCTGGGCCTCTACATGCCCAAGCTGGCCTTTCGTCCCTAACAGATTAATAATGTGCTGGCCACCTCCAGCTCCTGCTGGTTTTCCCATGGCCTTTGTCATGACACCAGGATACAGAGAGGAGTGCACAGTTGTCCACACCCATCCCAGGTGGCAGGGCTGGTTTGGCTTCAGTCATTTCTTTATTTTCCAGGCAAATCTTCCTGGAAAGAGTCTTCCTTTTAGGAGAGTTCTAAAGAGCCCTGCCCCTATATGCAATGGCTTAGAGCTCCTCCTGCTCATTGTTGGTACAGCCCCCATCCTATATGAAGCCTGGATGCTTGGAACTGCTAAAATAGGAGGAGATTCAGCTTTTCAACTTTGCTACTACCTTGCCTTGAGCAAGAAAATAAACATGGACTTAAATATCCTTTGAACAAAACCAAAGTTTAAGATTTGTCACATGACGTAGTGACAGGGCCAGCCTTTCAGCACTGTTACTCAGCAGGTGCCAGGCTTTCTGTTCTGTCTGCCACCAGTTTGCCCAGCTCAGGCAGCTATGGGAGCACCGTCCTGCCCGAGCAGAGCCCAGGCCTTGCCCTCATGGAGGAGAACTGAAATAGGAGCATGCTGACTTCTTGGTTACATCGCATTATAACAAGAATCAGAACATTAATTTGAAATTGTCTTCAACAACTTGCTGTATGCATTTTTTCACACCAGTACATTCTTAAGCATCCTTGTTTATAGAGAATAACATAAACTAATCTGTATCTTTATATATATGTACATATATACATGTATAAACTGTATAGTGTACATGTTAATGATTTATTGAGATGTCCCAAATCTTTAATGCAGTTCTCATCCTCTGCATGCCCTCAGTTTGTGGTCAGGTGACGTGACTGTTCCCTGATGACTCTGCCCACCTCCTGTGTTTGGACGTCTAGGAAGGAGGGTTTTGATCGCACCCTCCTTATCCTTGTGCACAGAAATGCTCAGGGTCCCCATGTGCCTGTTGTTCACCCTCTCTTGTCTTTTGCTCCCTTTCTGAGCATGTGGTCCTTCCCTGTTCTATATCTTCTCTGCCTTCTCCCCAAGCTGTGGGACAACTGTCTTCCTACTAAAGTGTAAAGCAGTATTAAGATCATTACTGCATGTGCGCTAAAACACCAGTTTTCTGTTCCCTTGGGGCAGAAAATTGCATGTGAGGTGGGATAATCAAGTCTCAATGACCCATGTCAGTTACACAACAAAGCCAGACTCCATAGTAAAATTTCCACAAAATGGAAATAAACTAAATCTCTTTAGCATTGTGTAAATAAATCTGGATGTGTTTAACTTTGTACTGGTACTTTTCTGTATATTTGCAATATTTGGGTTAGAAATAAAACAGACTGGGACTTTGTTACCTGACCTACTGAAATGACTAAGCTACAATGTGTTAATACAGCTTTTCCAGTTTTCTAGCTTCAGTAATCAAACCAAACCAGCAAATAAGCCAATTAAAGAGCCAGGACTCCGCATTTATAGCAGGGAAGTTATTGGATCATTTATGGGGGAAACTACTCACTTTTTTCTTCCTCTTTAAGCTCATAAAGATCTACTTCCCATAGGTATTTGTAAGACCAGCCTTCTCCTTATCCGCAGAAAGTCTGACCCATCCCACACACCTTCTCGGGTTTCAATTGCTGTACTCTTCCTGTGGACACAGCAACATATAATTACTCTCCTGAATTATGTGTTCCTTATAGCAGGTTTGACAAATGACAACACTGAAGTTTAACTTTGGTAGTTTTCCATTTGCCCCTCTTAAATTTCTCTTGCTCTCGTAGTCCCTGACCATTTCATTTCAGGAACTTCACTCTTCCAGCAGCTCTCCGCTCTTCCAAAGTATTGCTTTTAGGAGAGGTTCCTGCCCACTTCCCTTGAACCTTTAGCCAAGGCTGAGCTGGCTCCTCAGCCTGCCGTCCTGGGGTGATACATCCATGGAATACTTGTTCTGGCGTCCCAGTCTGAAGCCACGAGGCAAAGACCTTGCTCTTGAGGAGCCTGTGGAAGAGTTCCTCCCCCAGGAGACGATCTAAAGTGGTTTTATTTTCAGGAATTTATCTAACAGTGTTCTAAGACTTCCTACAGTAGTATCACTAGGTCGCTTTTTAAATGCAGATTGCTGTGTCCCACCCAGACCTATTAGACTGTTCCAATGGACAGACCCTAGGAGTATATGCATTTTTAATTTGATTCTTTCACACCTTCACTGAAACCAAGGGCTAAGACTGAAAACCTGGGCCAGTCTCACCAAAGCACAAGTGGGGTGTAAGGAGTGAGAATGGTCTGTAATTACGAGGCCCTTGGCTGGGTCAGGCAAGAGGTCAGAGAGGTTTCACGCTAGTCCTGATGTGGCACAAGTGCAGCCTCTTACCAACCAGCCCCATAGGTCAAGCTCCACAGTCACCCTCTTCAGCCATCCTAGCTCCTGATAAACAGGTTCCTGGGCCCAAAGTGTGTCTACAGGCTTCCTGGCCCTGAGCCCCTATACAAGTTGCAAAGAGGAGTTCTGGGCTTTGGTCCCACACCCCAACACAGGCTCCTGGGAGCCTACTGACTCTACCCCCAAATTGAGGGCTAAAGGGGAAAAATAAGGAGCCTATTCATTCAACCACACTCACTTTTTTCCATAATAAAAGGCATGGTGGAGAGTGGTATATGGGAACTCAGTGCTTTCGGCTCATCTTTGCTGTGAACCTAAAACTCTCAAAGTCTACATAGAAATATATACACACATACACAGAGGGGATGCTGGCTTCTGGAGATAAGAAACAGTAAGACAGCAAGCCAGATAATTTGGATGGAGTGTACAGCATCTGTAGAATGATGGTTTGGTAAACCTGGAGATCATATAGGACCTTTAGTATGTAACTGACACCTGTGGGTTGGCCACTTTCCTATATATTTTTTGTCATTTTATCCTCAGTACAATCATGGCAGCGTTGTCCCTTGTTTCAAAGACCAAAGACCTGAGGTTCAAAGGGCGTGATTTGCTCAGGGTCACCTAGTAATGAGTGCGCAGTATAGCCAAAAGACACACGCAGGTCCTCTGACCCTTACGCCCCTGGCCCTCCTCCCTTCTCCACTGCTGTCTCACTTTCTTAGTACTTTTATCTCATAGGCAAGGGAACTTTCAAAGGGGCAAGGCTGGTCTAACCTAAAAATAGCTTACATTTATCAAGCACTTAGTCGGCTGCACTCTGCTAAGCACTTTACACAGATGACCCCTTTTAATCCTCACAACAGCCCTATGGTTATCTCCATTTTTTAGACAAGGAAACAGACCTAAGAGAGACAGTGATGTGTTTGCAAGTCACACAGCTAGTTGGTGATAGAGCTGAAGTGGGCCCTGGTAGTGTCCCCAGAGCACAAATAAACCTTCCACTGCCACTAACGGGAGGCGGACAGAATGGGGATTCACCCTGCAAAGGTCAAGTTGACAGGATGAACTCACTGAATGTGGGAGCAGAGAGAGAGAGCAGTGAAAGGTGTGCCTGTGAATCAGCTAATCCTGGGGCCCCTTCCTCTGGACCTGAACACCCTGTCGGATGAGCTGGAGGTCAGGAGTTGCAATGTTACCCAATCCTCCCAGCAGAAGCCAGAGTCCCCCTTGGGATGGTGTGTGAGTGGGGGACATGGGGAAGCTATTTGAAGCTCAAGCTCTTAACTCCCTCCCTGGTGTTGGGTGAGGGATGTCATCTCACTCCCAAGATAACAGGGCCACCTCAGCCCTCCTGTGGCTATTCTGGGCTGCCCTCTGATCCCCCTGTCTTCCCTTAGCCCCTGCATTAACTCTTCTGCTGGGAGTAGCTGGGTGGGGAAAGGTCAGCCCAATTACATAACCCTGTGGCAGGGACCCCTGGAGAGGCTGCAGAGCAAGTGCTCAGCCCCTCCCTCACCACCACAAGTGAAAACCTGTGACTGGAGCCCAGCCTCGGGTGGCCCAGCATGGAGGCAGCCACAGCACTGGAGGTGAAAGACGTCAGCCCAGGCAATGCTGAAGAACCCCAGACTTCACCTCGACAGGGGGCCAGGAGCCCCATTTCCCAGATCCTGTCCCCTATAGAAGGTGATCTCTGGGGGTGGGGAGGGTGGAGAGGGTGGGGAGGCTGGAGGGTGGGAGTTGGGAGGATATCAGTACACCTGACCTCAACTCTGTAGGCTTGTGCAGAGCTGCACGACTTCATGGGATGGGTGCTGAGGATGGAGGACTGTCGGTTGGAGCCCCCATCCCCTTCCTTGGTGGAGCTTTACTTGCTGCTCAAGTGTCTGCTGGGTTTTTGCTTTTTAGCTAACAATTCAGTAAATGGTGTTTTTGGCACTTTACAGTAACTAAAAATGACCTGTTTATATTTTTACCTGTAAAAAATGTCTGTCACAGAGACTAAAAGGACCTGCCAGTCAGAAAGGGAATGAGAGGTGAGATGGAGGCCATCTAGATCAGAAGAGGGAAATGAAAGCTTATAGCAACTGGGAGGCTAGGTAGTGAACAGTCCATGACACTCTGTCTCTCCCTCGGCAGTGCCATGGGTCCAGAGCCCACCCAACACCCCCACTGGCTCCCGTGGGAAATCCCCGCCTCTCTGTGTAAGTTCCACAGAAGCAGAGCCCTTCTGGGGGAAGCACTGGGCTTCCCCTCCCTGGTGGTCCCTGTGAGCATCTCAGCAAAGAGGCATTTTGGAGCTAGGAAGTGGTGGGTGCCCCTTCCAGTCCCAGGTTTTCCTGCCAGCAGCCCTGCCGCCCAGCCCCAGCTGCCCCTGGCTGAGACTTCGTAGCCAACAGCTCTGTGACACTCACCTGGGGTGTCCCCAGTGCGCCTGGCTCAGCCAACCAGAAGTGGAATGAGAAATAGAGAACTAATTTCTTAAAGCCCTTGGCTCAGCAGTGATTCTGATCATCTCTACTCACATATCACTGGCAAGAACTAGTCTCACAGTCAGATGGCAAGGGGGGCAGCCCCTTCTCAGTGATAACTATACAATGGAAGAGATCGTGTAAAGTTTGGTGGGCCATTAGCCATCTGTCATAGAGTGGGATGCTGGAAATTCAGGTTATACAGGGGTTGTGGCTATTGATCTAGAGCAGGAGTCGACAAACTGCGGCTCGCGAGCCACATGTGGCTCTTTGGGTACATTCTGTCTCAAAAGTTTGCCAACCCCTGAAAGAACCAACCCTGTCCCTCACAACAATTTAAAAATTATTCGAGAGCCATAAATATATTTTTACATAATCACCATTATGTAAATAATATCCTTTACAAATTTTATAAATGAAACTATGATAGTTTTATTTTTATTTTCAATTTTACTTCAGAGCCTGCAGCTTGCAAGCCACAGTTAGCTGACCCCTGGCGGCTCTTCCGTCTCAAAAGTTTGCGGACTCCTGGTCTAGAGAATGACCGAGGAACCAGGGTGAAGTAGGGGAGGACAAAATCACTGGAGGAGTGGCAGGCAGATGTGAGACCCTGCGGGGACTGGAAGGACAGCTGTTCAAATCACCGGGAATCATGACTAGAGCAGTATCGGAGAGAGCGACAGGGAGGCAGGGCTAAAGCCATCAGCATGAAGGGAAGAGTACAAGGGGAGGGGTGACAAGTCTTCTCCTCAGAGAAGGGCTGTCTACTTCTATGTCCTTTTATTTTTTCCTGAACTTAGTTTCACAATCTTTAAGGAGATGACACTTTTGTCCTTCACAAGGTCACTGTACGCCTTTCTCATCACACTTCTCCAGACAGGTTTCTGATGAGCGAGCCCAAGGCCACATCCTAGGCATCTGTTAATGTCTCTCTAAGAAATGCTGTGCTTTTCGGGTCCCTGGAAAGCTCTGGTTGTTTGAAAGCCACAGCTCACCTTGTGCTTTCATCTTCTTCTGGTCACCATTCACTCACACACACGCTTATACTGGGTCTCACATACTCACATACTCTCACACACACACTCACACACACACTCACACACACTCACACACATACATTCACATACTCATACACACACACACGCATACACTTACACACACACTAACACACACGCTCACACACACACATGCACATACACTCACATACACACACTCACATACTCACACACACACATACACATACACACTCATACACACATACACTCATACACATACGTACACATTCATACACACACTCATACACTCACACACATGCTTATACTGGGTCTCACTCACGTACTCTCGTGCACACACACGCACACACACACTCTCTCACACACACATGCATACGCTCACATATACTCACACACATACACTCACATACTCATACACTCACACACATACACACTCATACACACACATGTACATACACATACACTCTCATACTCACATACACTCACACACAAACACACACATACACTCATACACTCACACACACTCACACATGTACATACACACATACACTCACACACACTCATAAACTCACACACTCATACACACACACACGTACACACACACATACACTCTCACATGCTCACATACATTCACACACACACGCATGAGTATACACACCCCCTTTCACGCTTCATGTGTGTCCATCTTGTCTTTCCCCTGTCCAGGTTATAATTAAAAACATCAATCTGAACTACCCAGCCCTTCGGGGGCTGCTGGAGGAAGGTCTTTAACCATGTGAAAGGAAGTTACTAGGGGATATGAGCACAGAATAAGAAAACGCATATAAACTTCAGCAGAATGAAATAGGGTAGAACTACGAAGAATTTTCTAATCAAGAGGAGTTGAGATCTTTGGACTTTTAAGTAGTCTCCTTCTCTAGTAATATCTAAGAAAGAATTAGACAACATTCTGAGAGAAATATAGCGCTAAGAAAGACACAGCTTGGAAGCCAGTGGCTCTCAAAGGACTTTCCCAGGACTCTATAATGGGAGAAAACCAAATTATGGCTGTCTCAAACCTGGTCTTAGAAAATCTAGGTTCTGCTTCCGGGCTCTAGTACGTGGTTCACATCCCTTCTGGCATCTGAGGCGGAGAAAGCCGTGCTTCTCCAAGGTCAGTACAATTAACACCTCACTGGACTGTGGCGTGTGAAAAGAGATGCCCCAAATGAGTCCCCCTATTAACATTCTCAGCAAAGGGTCAGATTGCTCGGTTGCTGGGCAGACGAGGCCTGGGTTGAGCTGGGAAAGGGCTTGCTGCTGCCCAGGCACCTGGAGCTGTCAAACACTCTTCTGCCACCTTTCACATTTTGTCAGCTGCTTTAGCCTTAAGCCCATCCTCTGTCCTCCCACCAGGGCCCAGAACCTGCTGAAAGCTTTATCTTCACCTACAGAATCCTCAGTCAGAACATTCTAGTAACTTAAGTTTGTCCCCTGTCGATTCATCATCATGTCAGGGAATCCCACTTATAAGCCAAGAACTGGGACAGGAGGCCTCCAGGGAGGAAAACACCACCATCCTAGCTGTCAGCCTTTCTTCACTGTCTCTCTGCCCCCATTTGAGTCCCCTGTGCATCTCAGGGCCGTTCTGCTCATCCTTCTCCTAATTCCCCCATTTTAGCTTATGTTCCATGTAAAATCCCCCATTTTAGCTTATGTTCCTATTTCTTTGTTTTCTTTAGTTCAGGTGAAACAATGCTAACATTTTCCAAGATATTTTTGTAAGAAACAAAAGAAACACTGAGTGGGAACAAATATATGCATCAGCATGTTCCAGTCTACAGAAGCCCATTTCCTGCCTGAGGTCTAAGCAGAGCAGGGCTCACCGGGCACGTCTTCCAGGCATTACAACCTGGGCTCCTTTCCTCACCTTAACCTTTTCAATCCTTGAACGTGTCCCTCTGCTTTCCCTGCTTTGCCATCCCCCTCCAGGAACAAGGTCACCATTAGAGCCCTGACTGTGGTGCCCAGTCTCAGGTGGACACTGGAGGACAAGGGAGTGGACTGTATGCGATGCTCAGAGAATGGGTCCCTCAGACACACATTCCTAGATGGGGAGGCAGGAGTCCTTCACAACCAGCCGTAACACCTTAGCAAATCTGTTTCTCTCTCTGAGCCCTTTCCTTCCACTCTTCTCCTTGTGCTGGGTGCTCATCAAGGCCCGTCATAGCTCAGATATTCTGTAGGCAGAGCAAGGGACTGCAGAGTCTGGCTTCTCTGCAGCCCTCTGACCAGCAAGTGTGAAGGGCGATTTCCCCACGCAACAGTGGGAACCAAGCCCAACAAGACAAGGTTTTGACCCTCCTTTTCAATTGCCGCTCTTTTTTCAGAAAACTCTTAAGTCATATCCGTCTGTTCTCAACTCCTTGGTGGCTTGCCAAGATGGCCCCAGGAGAGGAACACATCACACAAACACTTCTTCTGTTCTTCATGCCCCGCCCCCCTCCCAAACCGCCAAAGTCAAACAGAGGGCAAGCAGAGCAGGGTCATTCAGCTGCCTGGGGCTCCGTGGCTGCAGTGCTCCTACTCAGGCGGTCAGACCACACAGTCAGGACGGGCCCTCAGAGCACTGGAGGCCCCATATCCCTTAGTTCCTGCTTTTGTCTGGGCAGGGGTGAGGTACAGTCTAAGACAGCACTACCCAGGTGAAAACATAAGCCACACAGCAAAAATGGAAACTAGATAAATGGACAGCATGCACTGAATATGGGTGTTTATATTCATTTACAAAGGCCAAGTGATCTCGAGATCATAATGGGGTGGGGACTATGGGAGTCAAGTTCCTGGTCTCTAAACAATTTGAGATGTCGGAAGAACATAGCAGAACCTCCATTTATTTTATTTTAAATTTCACCATTCAAAATCCTGCATTATATAATGTATATATTTAAACAGTTCAATGTATAAATAAACATACATACGCTGGGGTGAAGGCTCAGGAAAGTATTTACAGGGAAATGGAGATTATCAAAAAGCTTGGAATCCACTATCAAGCAGTTGTGCCCGTTCCTGCAGTTGTGTAATGGGGTGGAGTTTTTCCCAACTGCTAGGAATGAACTGGGGACAGGTGGGGCACTGTCACATTCCTTAAGACAACAGCAGCAGGGGACTGCCTCTGCCTGAGAAAGGAGGCGACAGAAGATGCAATAAAGCTAGAAAATGGTGTCAATCTTAGCCAGGCCCCCAAGGGAACCCAGGTGAGATGTTTGCATTTCCTCAGCCAAGGCAGCCTGAGGCCAGGCGAGGAATTACACCTGGTCATTCTCCAAACCTCACTCAGCGCTTTCCTGAGCATCTCCTGTTTTGATCCTGGAAGCCAATAAACATGATCTAATCTCTCTTCTCACTGGAACATGCCTGGGAGATCAAGGGGAAGTGAGCAGTGGACCATTTAACCTTTCCCAGATTCTGGTTGTAAGAAGTGATCCTTCACAAGCTGTAAGAAGTGATCCTTCACAAGCAGGCATCGAGCGGGGCAGCCACGCAGAGGAAGGGACCTAGATGCCAGCTCCCTCTGCAATGACGTCAGGGCTGTCCTAGTAGGTCCAGGCTGTTGGCCCTGCCTGTGGAATGGAGAGCTTTCTCCTGGAGTCTGGCACCAAAGTGGGAGCAGGGCTGATGTTTGGAGGTCAGGACTAACACTGAAAGAGGTCTTGATAAAAGGAGTGTTGTTAAGGATAAAGGTAGAAAATGGGTGGAAAGACAAACCACACAGACTGGTCTGTGCACAAATAGAAAAAAAGAAATCTCAGTTGATGGAAAGTCGGGAGCTGACAGTTAAAAATTAAAAGAAGTATCAGACTCACACTCCAATGCTCTTCCTGCCAAGACTTTAATGCTCCAGAGAATCCTTTAGCCGGTTACTCATCCCTCGATCCCAGCAAGACGATGGAAGCAATCTTCCCATTCCCTACGAGAGGACTTCATTTGCGGAGTGGTGCCTGGGTCACTTGTCCATGGAGCATAGCTGAATGCAGTGCCCGCTCCCTCTGAGTGTTACTCTTCCCTCCACAGGCGGCTCACCACCCTGTTTTCTCTCTTTCCACCACTCAGAGCACCCCAAGATCTGTCTACCTCGGGCCCTGAGGCAGACCTATATCCGGAAGGTTGGAGATACTGTGAACCTACTAATCCCATTCCAGGTGATCATGTCAGCCCCATGCTGGGTCTCTGGCTGAAAACAGGACAGGGTTTGATTTGGAAACAGATACCAAGAGTCCTGCTAACAGTGGGGCAGTCATCCTGATCTTAAATGGAGGGAGCCATGTCACCAGAAGTCTGAGGCCAAATGGCCCTTCCATCTAATCTATACTCCTGAGGGTGGGTCAGGTCAGGCCCCATTTGATGAGGTAAGGCTAATCCATGCCCTTCAGTCAGCAGAGGTCTGGGAGCTTTCAGTGGGAGGGCTCTCGGGAGCTTGAGCAGCTATTGTTAGTCCCAGCTGCCCTACTTGTCCATGACTTAAATTCCTAGAGAGTGGGAGACTCAAAGCCATCCCCCTTTTTCCATGATCCTTAGGCTGTTGCTAAAAGATGAAGTCCCCTGAGAAAGTCCATCAACCTCTAACTGAAGGAATTTGCAGCTGCGAGTCAAGTCACCATGTGGAACTGGGGTGGAAGATCAAGAGGCCTCTTGGGACTGCTCACAGCCTTATCCCTATTTCTCAGGGCAAACCCAAACCTCAAGCCATCTGGACACATAATGGCTGTGCCTTGGATGCTAGTCGTGTAAGCGTGCGGAATGGGGAACGGGACTCCATCCTCTTCATCCGAGAAGCCCAGCGTGCAGATTCGGGTCACTACCAGCTCAGTGTGCAGCTGGGTGGCCTGGAGGCCACTGCCACCATTAACATCATGGTGATCGGTACAGTGTGGGGAGTAGAAGATGGAGTGGTCTTCAGAGGCTCCCTCTCCAGGCTGAAAAGGGGCCAACGCAGAGAGCTGGGGAAGTTACGGTGTGGGACGCAGTGGTGTGTGAAGGGGGGGTGGCTGAGCAGAGAAGGGGGAGGGGGCACTCCTGAAGTGATTTCCACACATGCGAGTTGTACCATGCCCACTGCCATGCTTGATCCTTTCAGAGAGGCCAGGACCTCCTCAGAGTATCAAATTGGTGGACGTTTGGGGCTCCAATGCTACCCTGGAGTGGACACCTCCCCGAGACACGGGCAATGCGGCACTCCTGGGATACATGCTGCAGAAGGCTGACACAAAATCTGGGGTGAGGCCCAGCTAGGAGGGAGGGACGGAGGCATAGTACATTCTGGAATGGAGCTCTGGTAGCTCCACATGGTGGGCTAAGGTGGATTGAGTTCACAAAACAGGTGTCTCATTCACGGCATCTTCTTGGGACCCTGAAGCTGTGGTTCACGGTGCTAGAGCATTATCACCGCACCAGCTGCATAGTCTCTGATCTCATCGTTGGCAACTCCTATGCATTTCGAGTTTTTGCTGAGAACCAATGTGGGCTCAGTGAGACAGCCCCCATCACTGCCGACCTTGCCCACATCCAGAAAGCAGGTAAGGCACGGAGACCCTGAACTGGGAAGAGCTAAGGATAAAGAGTTGAAGGGGGATGGGATCTCAGACACTACCGTGTGGCCCTTCTTGGTCCCCTCAGCTACTGTTTACAAGACCAAGGGGTTTGCCCAGCGAGATTTCTCTGAAGCCCCAAAGTTCACCCAGCCTCTGGCAAACTGCACTACAGTCACTGGCTATGACACCCAGCTCTTCTGCAGTGTCCGTGCCTTTCCCAAGGTGAGCAGGGAGTTCTGGGGGGTGGCTGCACCATGCTGCTTCCTGCTCCTGCTCTAACCTTAGCTATGTTGAAAAGCATTCTAACCAAAATGTTTGTTGCCATCACCATCATCTGCCTCTTCCACAGCAGGTTATGTAGAAATAGTCAGGGCACTTGGAGTCCAAGACAGGCTGATGTAGATAATGTTCCCAGTTTTCCTTTAGTGTCTGTTCCTCATATATGAAGATGTCTTGTTCTGACTGGCTGGCAACTGGGCATGAGCTTCAAAGTTATCTCTCTGGCAGGGGTGATGGAGTTCCGTTGATTTCTCCTTACTCACTCCCCTTCCTCATGCCTCATTTGATCAGGGCCCCAACACATGCGAGCTGCCTGGAGTTGAGTCTTTAGCCACAACCCTTAACAATCTAGCCACTGTACTCCACGCAAGGCATAAAACACCACTAACAACCTTTATCAAGTACCTTGTATGAATTAGTCCTGGACCAAACTACGTGGGGATAACATCTCAGGAAGAGAGTATCAATAATCCCATTCTAAAAACTACTTTCTAACCAGAGGGGACGGGAGTGACTTTCAAACCAACAGTGGGACTAGAACAGTGGGACAATGTATATACAAAAAAGAGGAGATCCTGACGCCCAGTGCTTCTGATCCATGAAGGGGCTGCTTGAGTGGGTGGAACAGAAGTTACTGCCTTTCTTCTAGTCAGGAATACTTGATGAATGAAACAAGGTTCCAGGTGTTCTTTTCAACCAAAACAAGGAGCATAGAGGCTGTTGAAGGTACTGAAAGTGGAACCCCTTCCCAAATATAAAGGATGGAGAGCTATCCAGAAGGCCATTATCTCTTCTAGATCCTTGAACCATCTGTTCTTAAAGCACCCTACTCCCCCTGCTTCTCTGGCTGGCATGTCCCCAAGCCTTGTAGACAAAGAGTCTCAGAGACTAAGCACACAAATAACAATTGGTTCTTAACAACCCCTGCTGCCCCCTCATCTTTATCTTCCAGCCAAAGATCATTTGGCTAAAGAACAACATAGATATCCAAGGCGACCCCAAGTACAGAGCTCTCACATGCCTGGGAATCTGCTCACTACAAATTCGCAAGCCTGGTCCCTTTGATGCAGGCATCTACACCTGCAAGGCGGTGAACACCCTGGGGGAGGCATCTGTGGACTGTCGTGTGGATGTGAAAGGTAAGGGCAAATCCGTGCCTTAGGGTGCAGGCATTCCCTGTCTCCAAAGAGGGGAGAGTAGGGGCAGAGACACAAGCCTACATGGAGAAGGGCTTGGTTTGCTTCCCCCTTTAGGCCTTCTTATCTCTGTCACCATCAGGATGTATTTGAGGTGCCATTTTTCTTATCCACTATCTCATTTCTTTCCATTGCAATTCTTTAATACAGGAAGAATTGCTATTTCCATGTTGCAAAGGAGAAACCTGAAGCACAGGGAGGTGATTGGTTCACCCAAGATTTCTAGTGTTGGTTAAGTGAGAAGCTGGCACTATGGTGGAAAGAGCCCAAGTCTCCTAGTCCTTACCCAGATGGTTTTTCTTTCAATTATACAGTCTTCTTCTGAGTCAGTCCAGGAAAGATGCAGCTGTTTGTTGGGCTTTCAGACAAACCAGAGGACTTTGCCCTCTGGTTTGTGAAAAGAAAATATTGCACATCTTCTCTACCTCTTTTAAAATACTCATTCCTTTATCCAATCCTGTCACCTTGTTCAGATCTCCATCACTGCATTTTAGCACATTGTTTTTATAATTGTCTATCTACTGACCTGTTTCCCCAGTAATGTATGAGCACTGTGAGGGCAGGGACTGTATTATTCGCCTGTGTGCCCCCCATCCCCCAGTACTGAGCCCAGTCTCTGACACACAGCAGGCCTCTCTAAGGATGTGGAGCAGGAATCAGGGGTGAATGGGTCATTACCTGTCCTATTCTTTCCTATGCACAGACAGACCCCTTGTTAGTACCATGGACTCCCAAAAAACCAGAGAAGTACATCCCTCCCCAGTACTCTGAAAGATTTCCCAGAGGTTTCTGAAGATATTAACATTGAGAAATGTCTGAATTCTTGCAGCTCCTGAATGAGGCTCCGTAAGAGGCATGGGCAACTCTGATGAAGGTAAGGAAAGAGAAACAGGGTGTCTGAATGGAGTATTTCATGTTTACAGCTAGTGCTGTTGAGACACATGTGTATTCCTGTATTCCTGAGCATTTCAACCATGCATTCACTGGTGACAACTTTTCTTTTAACCACTTTTTTTTGTAAACTAATACTATCATCCCAATGGAGGGAATTTACCATAGATGAAGTCTATTTTTTCACATCTTCTACTTGTCTGTACTCCTCAAGTTCACGACAGAAATTAAACCTAATGGTCCCCTGAAGAAGAGCGACAGCATCTACCTAATTGTAAGGGGTTTCTGGGGGAGGGAGGGAGGGAGGCAGGTGCTGTAAGAAGAGATGTCAAGGGAACCATCAGGAGTGGAGGATGGAGGAGTCACCACCACCACGTGGTGGCAGCATGGAAAAGGAGACAGGAAGCTGCTCTTGTCAATTAAGTGTTTCTGTCTCAGTATTATCAGCATGGTGAGAAACAGATTTGTTTATGGATTCCTTCCCCTCCAAAAGAAGAAAACCATCATTATCGTTACATGTCAGTAATAATTGAACATTTGGGCATGTGGTTCAAAGCAGCACATTACTGGCAAAGGGCAACTCAAATCATTGTTTAGAACTTGATAGCACCTTCATTCATAGTAGAAATGTTGTGTACAAACTGACGAGTGAAGTGGAAAAGCAGCTCATGAGAGAATTAAAGAAAACTGCTGCCCAATGTCTCCTCTGACTTACAACTCCTGGCTGATAAAAATTGAGAATGCATTCAATCCCAGAAGCCATTTATTTATGCCTATCATTGATAAACAGCAAATGGAAACCCTAAGGGATGTGTTAAAAGTACAGGTTTCTCAGGAGAGCTCTCTTTGCCAGTTGGCTTGCAAAGACAGTTCTCTCACCATCCCCTCAATTCCCTGTCAAGATTACGTACGTTGAGTTAATGTTAGCCTTGTTAGTGTTAATTGTCCTTTTACTTTTCTCCCAGCCACTGCCCAGCAATGAAGCAGGGTAAGTAGAGAATTCATAGCACAGGGCCCAGGGACCGTGAAGAGGGATTGCCTCGGCACCCTGGATATGCTCTGGCTGTTCGCTGTTAGGGCCACAACAAATTCTGTCTTTTCTGTGCCTCCAGGAAGCCTGACTGTGGCGACATTCTTAAGGAGCTCCAGCACAGCGTCTGGTTTGGACTGGTCTAAATAAATGTGTGGATCCTCGTGCATAAGTATCCATCTGTTTGAGCTTCTCCATATTGGAAAACCATTTAGAAAGTAGGAATTCTTTAGCCAGACTGCATGGAATCTCAGAACCCTCAGGCTCCTCTTTCTCTTTCCGTATCTACATTCTCTTCCACAAAGGTCTCTAACACTGTCTTGTCGCTAGATAGTCATGACAGCGCTGAGTTCAACTCTGTACCAGGTGCTGAAAGAAATGCTGAAGATGACTTGTTCTCTTCCTCTGTGGGCTTTCCAGTTAAAATTGGATAATGGGATGCACATCCATCACAGAGATCAGACAGCAGGACACATATATATGTATATGGCTAATTAAGGACAGAGTCCTAAGTCTTGAGGGCTGGGAGATACTGAAGAAATTGGAGATGTCTCATTAAGCCCTAGGAAAAGAATTAAGGTGGGGTGCCCTTGCTTAAAACAACTAAGATACTGAAGGTATTCTGTGGTGGAATCTGCAAAAGATAGCAACAATTTCTCCCTTCCTAGTAAGGGCATGGTACTCTCCCCATCAAAAGTTGGGGTCTATTTCTCCTCCTCTTGAATCAGGACTGACCATGTGACCTGCTTTGACCAAAAGAATGTAGCGGAGGTGATGCTGGGCCCGTTCTGGGCCTAGACCTTAAGAGGTCAGGTAGTTTCTGCTTTTGTTTTTGGAAGTCAGCTCCCATGTAAAGAATCTCAGGATAGATTTTTTTTTTTTTTAAGATTTTATTGGGGAATTGGGGGAGGGGAACAGCACTGGGGAATCCGGGAAAAGGAACAGACAAGTTGCTTTTGCTTTGTTCTTCAGTCTAGTTGTGGAGGATGTTGGTTCACTGGCCCAAGTTGGCACCATCATTGCGCTCTTCCAGGGCGAGGCAGATCAGTCGCCGGCCTCTGGACGGCCACTCACTGCGGCTGCTAGTTGCTCACGCTGGCTGCCGGCTACACGTGGTAGCTTATGGCAGCCCACTGCAGCAGGGGACTGCAGCCTATGCTGTCGCCTGCGACCCACAGCAGTCCAGCTCCAGGTCGAGCTGTTGTTCAGCATCTTAGCTGTAGAGGGCAGTGTCACTGGCCCTCATATGTGGGATCCGAACCGGGGCCCTCT